GAGCTGTGATGCAATGGCACTCTACCCAGGGGGACAGCTTGAGGCTCTGTCTCAAAAAAAAAAGAAAATTTAAAATCGGGGTGAGTCATCTGGTCAGTTTCTGGGCTGCTGACAAGATTTCATTTCTCAAAATAATTTTTTTTTTTTTTGAGACAGAGCCTCAAGCTATCCTCCTGGGTAGAGTGCCATGGCTTCACAGCTCACAGCAACCTCAAACACCTGGGCTCAAGCGAGTCTCCTGCCTCAGCCTCTCAAGTAGCTGGGAACACAGGCATCTGCCACAACGCCCGGCTATTTTTTTTTTTTTCAGTTGCAGCTGTCATTGTTGTTTGGCAGGCACGGGCTGGATTCAAACCCACCACCTTAGGTGTATGTGGCTGGTGCCTTAGCCACTTGAGCCACAGGCACTGAGCCTCTCATTATAAATATTTTAAGCTCTGTTTGCTTTGCTTTGCTTTCTGTGTATGTGGTATTTCTCAAAGCAATTTTTAGAAAACAAACCAAAAAAATGTTGGTAATCCACAGAATTCACCATTCTTGTGGACTTAAGAGGGCCAGGTGGGCAGCAGCCACAACCCTGTCAGCCCATGGGCATATCCAAGAGAGAAGAGCACAGTGACACTGACAATGGCTTAGGTGTGACACATAGCCACTCTTCACATAGCTTACACAGCAAGGTTGCCAAGGGACCTGAGTGTGGCCTTGTGACCCATCCTTTAGTCCTAATATTGTAATGACCTGAGATCTGAAAGACAGACATATAAATCCACAGTTCTGTTGATCAAGCCAAGTGCCTCCTTGAGCCCAAGAGTGTGAGGTTGCTGTGAGCTATAACACCATTGCACTCAACCCAGGGTGACAGAGTAAGACTCTGTCTCGAAAAAATAAAAATAAAAAAACAACCATGCACCTCAATTATTTTCCTCAGGAAATTTGGTAATCCAATACACAATGCCTTCTCTAAAGACTTCAGCTGGCAAAAATCTTGCTTCTCCTAACTCTGGCTAACTTTTTCTACTTCGTCATAGTTACACATATGTGGATTAACCCTCATGGACAGACTAAACCATTTTTGAGGTCTTTCTTTTTTCCCCACCATGCTAAATTACCCCCCCCCCCTTTTTTTTAAGACAGTGTCTCACTCTGTGCCCTGGGTAGAGTGCTATGACATCATAGCTCATAGCAACCTCAAACACCTGGGCTCAAGCAAGCCTCTTGCCTTAGCCTTCTGAGTAACTGGGACTACAGGCACCTGCCACAATGTCGGCCTAAATTTTTCTACTTTTAGTAGAGATGGAGTCTTGCTCTTGCTCAGGCTGGACTCAAAACTCCTGAGCTCAGGTGATCCGCCTGCCTTGGCCTCCCAGAATGCTAGGATTATAGGCATGAGCCATAGGGCCTGGCCTCTTAATTAATTTGATGAAAAAAATAAGAGAACAAGTAATCCACTCTGTTTGGAAATGGACACAGCCAGAATCCCAGCTGCCCCCAGCAGCCCAGAGCCCCTGGGCAAGTCATTATATCTAATGGGGATTAAAAAGTGCTGTGAAGGCTCAGGGCCTGTAGCTCAAGCACCAGCCACATACACCAGAGCTGGCGGGTCTGAACCCAGCCAGAGCTTGCCAAACAATAACAACTACAAAAAATAGCCAGGCATTTTGGCGGGCACCTGCAGTCCCAGCTACTTGGGGAGGCTGAGGCAAGAGAATTGCTTAAGCCCAGGAGTTGGACGTTGCTGTGAGCTGTGATGCCAGAGCACTCTACCCAGGGCAACAGCTTGGACTCTGTCTGTTAAAAAATAAATAAATAAATAAATAAATAAAATAAAAAGTGCTGTAAAGATTTGATAAGCTGATGCTGAGTGCATTGCCAGTTACATACTAATTGTTTTTCTTTTTTACTGGTGATTATTTCACAAACCAATGACTCTTTCCATCCCTTCTTGGTTAAGGAGGAGGAGGAATGTGTAAGAAATACAGATTTGACCAATAGACAGATATGAGTTTCATTCTGTAACCTTGAACAATTCAATGTTATCTTTCCCAGTGGTTAAAAAAACAAACTTTTTTCAACAGAGGAAAGCTATCAGAGCAAGATCCAAGGGTCCTGAGCTCCAGGGAGAGGAAAACTCACAGCACTGGATAGCCCATGTTGGTTTCCTACTCACTGCATCCCTGGTCACTGGGCTGCTTAACTGTGTCAGTGAGGAACCTTGTTGGAATGTTCTGTTTTTCTTTTTTCTTTTTTTTTTTTTTTT